TTTTTTTTTTTTTTTTTTTTTTTTTTTGAGACAGGGTCTGGCTCTGTAACCCAGGCTGGAGTGCCATGGTGCAATCTCGGCTCACTGCAACCTCCACCTCCTGGACCCAGAAGTGATGGGTCCCACCCCAGCCTCCCGGAGTGGCTGGGAACACAGGCATGTAACACCATACCAGGTTAATTTGTGTATTTTTTATAGAGACAGGGTTTCACTATGTTAGCCTGGGCTGGTCTCGAACTCCTGAGCTCCAGTGAGCTGCCTGCCTCGGCCTCCCAGGTACTGGGATTGAAGGCGTGAGCCACCGTCTACAGCATTTATTAGATACCTTTGTGTACTTTGCTTTCTTTGCTCTTGGTGATTCTCCAAAAAAACCTATCTCCAACATACAAGGATTTTTCTTTTCTTCCCTTTTTCCAAGTAAAGCCAAAGTCAGAGGTCCAGTGGTGTGATCTTGTCGGCAACCTCTCCCGGGTTCAAGGATTTGGTACCTCAGCCTCCCAAGTAACTGGGATCACAGGCATCCCACCATCACACCCAGCTAATTTTAGTATTTTCAGTAGAGACAGGGTTTCACCATGTTGGCCAGGCTGGTCTTGAGCCTGACTTCAGGTGATGCGCCCACCTTGGCTGGCTCAAAGTGTTAAGAGTAGGATTTTTTTTTTTTTTTTTTTTTGAGACGAGTCACCGCTGTATGTGGGCTGGAGTGCAAGCGGGATCTCAGCTTTTTTTTTTTTTTTTTTTTTTGAGACGAAGTCTCGCTGTGTCGCCCAGGCTGGAGTGCAGTGGCCGGATCTCAGCTCACTGCAAGCTCCGCCTCCTGGGTTTACACCATTCTCCTGCCTCAGCCTCCCGAGTAGCTGGGATTACAGGTGCCCGCCACCTCGCCCGGCTAGTTTTTTTTGTATTTTTTAGTAGAGAAGGGGTTTCACCATGTTAGCCAGGATGGTCTCGATCTCCTGACCTCGTGATCCGCCTGCCTCGGCCTCCCAAAGTGCTGGGATTACAGGCGTGAGCCACCGCGCCCGGCCAGGATTTTTTTTTTTTTTACTTCCCTTTTTCCAAATGAGGAAACCAAGGCTCAGAGAGGGAGAGTGTGTTGCCCAGAGTGGCCTAGCAGAGCCACAGCCTTGCACCCGGCAGCTCTGGCTCCAACGTGTTCCAGACTTCTCCCATCAGCCAACTGCCTCGCAACTTCTAATAAACTCCTGAGAAGCGCTGAGCAGATGCAGTGGCGCCCACGCTCTTTATCTGCCCAGATCGGGCCGGCTCAGCAGAACAGTCAATAATTAATTCTGAATTCTGCCCATTTATCACGGCAGCAGGAGCCAGAGTGCCTGGAATCCCAATCCCAAGCCTCCATGCCCCTTGGTCACCTGGACCGAGGCACAGTGGTGGCAGGAACTAAGCTGGGGAGGGGGCCTCATTGAGCCTGGGAAGGGAGCAAGGGTGTTCCCGGCTCCCCACTGCTCCCCGGTGCTGGGTTATTAAATGCTGTGTACCGCAGCAGTGGCCAAACCAGACCTCTTCCCCGTCTTCATGGTGCCCACAGGCTAGTGGGGAAAACATACATTGAATGAATAATAATATTAATAATTAATGCTATAAAGAAAAAGAACAAGATGTTGTGAGAATACAAAACAACAGGAACATGACTCGTTTTGGGGGCCTCCCCAAGGAAGTGACGCTGAACCTGCAAATCACAGGGTGAAAGGTGAAAGGTTGGGAGAGGGTATTTCATATACAGAAATAGCCCCTGCAGTCTGGAAGCAGTGGCTCACACCTATAATTCCAGCACTTTGAGAGGCCGAGGTGGGCAGATCACCTGGGGTCAGGAGTTCGAGACCAGCCTGGCCAACATGGTGAAATCCCGTCTCTACCAAAAATACAAAAATTAGCCAAGCATGGTGATGCGTGCCTGTAGTCCCAGCTACTCAGGAGGCTGAGGCAGGAGGATCGCCTGAACCTGGAAGGTGGAGGTTTCAGTGAGCTAAGATGGCACCACTATACTCCAGCCTGGGCAACAGAGCTAGACTCTGTCTCAAAAAAGAAAGAAAGAAAAAAGAAAGAAAAAGGAAAAGAAAAGAAATAGCCCCTGAAAAAAACCTTGTGGCTGAGGTCCAAGCAAGGGGTTTAGTAGGTCTGAAGTTCAAAGCACAAGTGTGAGGTCAGTGCCAAGTCGGGAGACCTCAGGGCCAGGCCTGGAACCCTCATAGTGAGGCCAGCAGCCCTCAGTGGAGAGCCAGGGGCCACCAAAGAAAGAGATGGGTAAGTTTCTGTGATGTTCCAAGGGGTAGTAGCGAGGCTACTTCTGCCCCAGGTGCATCACCCTGCAAGGTCAAGTGGTCGGCTCTGTGTGGCTTTTTTTGTTCGTTTGTTTGTTTGTTTGTTATTGAGGCGGAGTCTCACTCTGTTGCCAGGTTGGAGTGCAGTGGCGCGATCTCGGCTCACTGCAACCTCCACCTCTCGGGTTCAAGCCATTCTCCTGCCTCAGCCTCCCAAGTAGCTGGGACTACAGGTGCCCGCCACCACGCCCGGCTAATTTTTGTAGTTTTAGTAAAAACAGGGTTTCACCATGTTGGCCAGGATGGTCTCGATCTCTTGACCTTGTGATCTGCCCGCCTCGGCCTCCCAAAGTGCTGGGATTACAGGCATGAGTCACTGTGTTCGGCCTTGTTTTTTTTTTTTTTCTTATGACTGTTTTCCTTTCTGACGGTTCTTTCAAATCTATTTGGGCATCGGGATGAGTCGGGATTTGTCTGCCAGCAAACACCCAATGCCATGCAAGCAGCTCCTGGCCTGGCCATCCCAAACACTTCCCTCCTTGGGCAGGCAGGGAAACTGAGGCCCAGTGAGGGACAAAGAACACCCAAGGTCACTCAGGGGAAGGTCGTGTGTGGGAGGGGTTTCTGGGGAGTCTCAGGGGCCGTGTGCCTGCCCTACAGCTTCTGTCTCTTTTGTTGGGCCATGAGCTCTGTGGGGAGCTTGACTGGGTGTCCTAGTCACCATGCTGTCCTCAGAGCCCTGTAAACTGGAGGTGCTTAATCAGTGATTGTGGAACGCATGATCCCACAAGCTTCTGAAGACACCCCAGAGGTCGTACTTAGGACATCAGAAGGAAAGGGGGCTCTTTTTTTCTTTTTTTGAGACAGAGTCTTGCCCTGTCACTCAGGCTGGAGTGCAGTAGGGCAATCTCGGCTCACTGCAAGCTCCGCCTCCCGGGTTCACACGATTCTCCTGCCTCAGCCTCCCGAGTACCTGGGACTACAGGTGCCCGCCACCACGCCCGGCTAATTTTTTGTATTTTTAGTAGAGATGGGGGTTTCACTGTGTTAGCCAGGATGGTCTCGATCTCCTGACCTCGTGATCTGCCCGCCTTGGCCTCCCAAAGTGCTGGGATTACAGGTGTGAGTCACTGTGCCTGGGCTATTTTTTTTTTTTCTTTTTGTTTTAGAGACAGGGTCTCGCTCTGTCACCCAGTCTGGAGTTCAGCGGTACGATTATAACTCACTGTGGTCTCAAACTCCTGGGCTCAAGTGATCCTCCCGCCTCAGCCTCCCAAGTAGCTGGGACCACAGGGGCATGTGACCACGCACAGCTGATTTTTAAATGCTTTTGTAAAGACTGGGTCTCGCCATGTTTCCCAGGCTGCTCTCGAACTCCGAGGCTCAAGCAATCCTCCTGCGTCAGTCTCTCAAAGTGTTGGGATTAGAGTCGTGAGCCACTGAGCCTGGCCCAGGGAAAGAGGGGTCCTTTTCAATAGGAGATTTGAGAAAAAAAATACAGCGACATGGAGAGAGACAGAGACTGAGATGCAGACCAACTGAGAAACTCGAAGAGACAGACATTGAAGAGAGGCAGAGATAATGAGATACAAACAGAACCACAGAGAGAAATAGAGCGACAGACAGCAGATGAAAAAGAGGCTGGGCGCAGTGGCTCACGCCTGCAATCCCAGCACTTTGGGAGGCCGAGGCAGGTAGATTGCTTGAGCCCAGGAGTTCGAGAACAGCCTGGGCGACATGGCGAAACCCCATCTCTATAAAAATTTAAAAATTAGCTGGGTATGGTGGCGTGTGCCTATAATCGCAGCTACCCAACAGCCTGAGGTAGCAGGATCACCTGAGCTGGGGAGGTTGAGGCTGCAGTGATCTGTGATTGTGCCACTGCACTCCAGCTTGGACAACAGAACAAGACCCTGTCTCAACAAAAATAAAATAAGAGACTGAGACACAGGGACAGATGAAGAGAGAGGAGAGAGAGAGAAAGATGACAAGGTCAGAACCAGCACTGACTTGTATGGGAGCTGTTGGATGAATTACAAAGAAGGGCCCCTTCCTGGGGCCCTCCCACCTCGGCAGCTGGGTCCTCTTGCGCAGTGAACAACCTGCCCCACTGTCTGTGGCAGCTGGAGCAGCATCTGTCTTGATATCACTCATTAAATGAATGCTCAGAGTTAAGAGAATGCCAGAGTCCAGCCTGGAGTCTCACAGAAAGAGAACAGACAGACAGAGGCAGGGCAGGACGGAAGTGACAATTCCAGGTCCTGGCAGTTTCTGGCTAAACCGCTGATGTCACCTCTGGGAACCGCCTGGACTCACTTGCCCTCTAGGAGAATTCCCTTGGACCTTCTTGGAGCACAAACTAGGTGGGCGGCCAAGGCGGGAGGTGGCTCCTCCCCGGGACGCCGCAGGCCCTAGTGAGATGGCAGCTGCCAAGTCTCACCCGAAAGTCCTCATAGCCTAGACTTGCTCAGGGTGGAGCCGAGTCTGAGAGGCCCTGGCGGGGAGCGGGCGGGATTCCGAGTTTCACGGCTCAGAGATGGGAGGGGGCTGGCCTGGGGTCACCTGGAGTAACAGTGTCACCTGGAGTAACAGCATGTGCAAAGGCCTGGAGTGGAGTGAGAGGAGGGTAAAAGAAGAGCAGCCTAAACCCGTAGATGGGGTAGAATGAAGCCCAAGAGAGCTCCAAGGCCACGTTAAGAAGCTTACACTCAATCTTGCTTTCAAACATTTAATCTTTTATTTAGCGCACTCTCAAAACAGCATTTCTGTATCTGGTTCCAAGCTGGGTGATCCTGCAGCCCCAAAGGTAGTGATGACTCTGACTGCTGGGAGGAGACGCAGACCTCCCAGTTCCGTGGATCCCGAGTGAGTCAGAAAGTGAGACTGGAAGCAGCAGGGGCCTTGAGGGAAGTAGGCTCTTCTTGAAGGATGAGAAATGGCTGCATGAAGAAGCAGGTATTGAAGCTAGGGCTTTGAAGGATGAATAGGAGCTTGCCAAACAAAGAAGGTGGGACATGCAAACCAAATGGAGAGATGGTGGCCCAAACTCAGGGATATGCGAATGGAGTAGCAGGAGAAAGACAGACTGGGGGAGCAGAAGAGTCAGTGTTTAGCTTTCTCCAGATCCAAAATCAGCAGCCTGTCATTCAAGGCCAAGAAATTCCACAATAGTTCCCCTTGGCTCTGTCAAGCCTGTCAGGCCTGGAGCTTCCTCAAAGCAGCTCTGACGACTCCAGCCACTGTCATCTCCCCTTCTTGTGTCAGGAGGACCGTGCACTTGGGTGCATGGTGACATTCAGTGGGGGCTGCTTTCCTCGGTGTGGCTGTGGGAACTTAGGCCCATGCCTCAGTTTCCCAACCAGGAAAATGGGCTGCAGGAAGCCACTTTTGCAGCTTTATGTTTATCTCAGGCCAGGGAGGCCTTGGACAAATTATGTGAAGGAAGAAGAGAAAAATGGAAGATAGGGAGAGAGAGGGAAGGAAGGGGGTGAAGGGAGAAAGGAGAACAGATGGGATGGGAAGCGACGGGAAGAGGGAGGAAGGAAAAGGTTGTGCACCTCCCCACCCAGGTCATCACCAAGGGACAGGTCCGACATTATTATTTCAGACACGCCAGCGCTGTCGAGGCTTAAGAAATGGGTGATGATTTGCATGTAATTTGCATGAGATTTGCATACTATTTGTTAAATGTCAAAAACGCCCTGAAAATGCTTTCTCCCACCTCCACCCCCAGTCGAGAAGTGGGAAACCCTTCCCCCCCTTTTCCTCCATCAGCTCCCGGCATGGGCTGGGGACCTCTCAGTTCAGAGGCTACTGGGGCACCAGTCCAGAGGGTGGTGACCTTGGGCAAGCCGAAAGCCATCTGTAAAATGGGCTGTCATCCTGGCCTCTGAGCAGCGAGGCTGCCAACCTTTTTTTTTTTTTTTTTTTTTGAGACGGAGTCTCTGTCGCCCAGGCTGGAGTGCAGTGGCACGATCTTGGCTCACTGCAACCTCCACCTCCCAGGTTCACGCCATTCTCCTGACTCAGCCTCCAGAATAGCTGGGACTACAGGCACCCGCCACCACGCCCGGCTAATTTTGTGTATTTTTAGTAGATACGGGGTTTCACCGTGTTAGCCAGGATGGTCTCGATCTCCTGACCTCGTGATCCACCCGCCTCGGCCTCCCAGAGTGCTGGGATTACAGGCGTGAGCCACCGCCTGCAGCCGGCTGTCAATCGAGACAGGGCTCCAAAAAGACGTGCGCAGGTCCTGACATGGAGTAGGGACCAAGGAATGGAACTGGGGAGATTATTAAATGCCCCATTTTCTTGCCAAAACCTGATGGAGGCAGGTCCCTGAATATGCACAGGGAAATGAGTGACAGAAGGGATCCAGGCTCGAGATATACACATGTGGCCCAGCTGTTAGCAGAGTCCCAAACCACGCATGAGCAGGGATCTGGGCTGCCTCCCTCTGCGCTGTGTCCCTAACAACCTCCTTGGGCCTCAGTTTACCCTCTGCAGAAAAGAGAGCAGAAGAGTCTGCTCCAGGAGGAGCTCCAGGGGACACACAGTGGGTCTCTGTGGACAGAGTCCTGGGTTAGGCACCAAGGGAGAAGTGGAGGCGGCTAGGAAGACCCCCCTCCAGGCACACCCAGGGGCCAGCAAGACCCAAGTCATTCTGCAAAGCAGCTCCAGCCCGTCTGCCTGCCGGAGGGAAATGGGGCTCCTCTCTCTTCCCCTCCTTCTCCCCCTCCTCTCGGCCAAGCGGGAGTCGGAGGGTAGATGCCCGAAGTTCAGCAGATGCTCTGAGGGGAGGTGAGCAGGAGCCCCGGGGCCGAGTGCTGTCCCCAGCTAAGCAAACGCACAATCTGGGCGTGGCTGTCCCCACGGTGGCGATTTACTATCCACCTGTCCGTGCTTTGAGTCCTGTGGCCGACAGGACTCTTAATTAAAACATTATTTCTTCCCAGGCTTGGGTGTCTCCGCCTGTGGTGCCTGGAGAGTGAACACGGCCCTCGAGGACACGTGCAGCCCCTGCACCCCCTCCCCAAAGACCCTCCCCGGGGCTGCACAACATGAGGTGATGTGGCTCCAGGTCAGAGGTGCAACGGAGGTCCGGCACACTGCCCTGAGGCTCTCCACCCGGAATTCCCACAACACACTCCCTGCCATGCCCTGAGATGACCTCCCATGCCTCGGCTCAGTTCCCCACCTCCAGATCCTCATCCTTTTGGCCAGAGTTCTTTAGACCCCCGTCCCCTGCCGCCCCAAGACCCTGTGCAGACAACCAGGCATCTGGATTTAAGGCGAAAGGGGAAACCACGCAGGTGTCTCCTGGAGAGGTATCTGGGGGTGGAGATGGGGCGCAGTTGGAGGCCTGAGCAGGAGCTGGGATGTCCCCATCTCCCTGCTTAGTCATTGGAGAGTTCGGGTAGGACTGGCTGCACCCCCAACCAGGGCTGTTCACTGCACAAAGGGCCTGTGGGGGCCCCAAAGAGGGCTAAGTGCTCTCTGGCTGGGAAGGAGAGAATCAGGGAAGCCTTCCTGGAGGAGACTGCAATCCCACGTGTATTGGAGCTGCAGAGAAGAGGTTGAAAAGTGCTCCAGGCAGGGGGCATGGCTTGGGCAAAGGTGTGGCTGGGAGAATGTCCTGGGCAAGAGGGGAAGTGCCTCCGAGTGCCTCTCCTGTCCCCTCTGTGCTTCTCTTCTTGCGATGCTCTCTGGATGCCCATGGGAGCTTTCCAAGGTGGCACAGTGCTTCCCACTGAAGACAGGGCACCCAGGGCCCCAACAGGGGAGCAACAGCCTCAAAGTCACACAGCAGAGCTGAAAGGCTCAAAGCTCTCTCCTGATAGGCTGGGCAGGAGCAAAAATGTCCTAGGTCCATGTCAGGGATTGGGGCTCCAGCAGGAGTGTCTGAAGCAGTGTGCATCATCTGGTCAGGCCAGGGTTTCACCATCCACCTGGGAGCCCAGACCCTGGAACAACAGGAGGGGAAGGATACACCCGTTTCAATACAGGCCCAGGGAAGGGTGAAACACCAGTTCTCTAGCCAGTTGTCCTTCCCTTTGACCTAACATCCCTGACGTGGACAGTGACACCTGTAGTCATCCCTCCTCCTGTGGATGTCCCTGGTGTCCTTTAAGAGGTACAGGGATGGCCCCTGGTGACTGGTGAATTTGGCTGTTTTCTTTCCTTTTCTCTCTCTCTCTCTCTCTCTTTTTTTTTTTTTTTTTTTTTTCTTTTTTTTTTGAGACAGAGTCCTGCTCTGTCACCAGCCTGGAGAGCAATGGCCTCATTTCAGCTCACGGCAACCTCCGACTCCTGGATTCAAGCGATTCTCTTGGAACGTGGCTGTTTTCTGCCACCTGATGGCAGTCGCAGGAATTGCAGGCAAAGAGTGCAGTAAAACCAAACCAAAGCTCAATCCTTCACTGTAAGGAGACAGGTAACAGAGCCCAGAGAGGAGAAGCAATTTTCCCAAGGTCACCCAGTAAGTCAGGGGCCATACGGCTCTGGTCCACATGTTAATCCAAAGAGAAGTGAGCCACCGAGGTCATGTCCCTATCCTAGGGACCAGAAGCATAGGAGGTGGGTGATGGTCAATAACATGTCTCTTCTCCTTCCTGGGCCTCAGTTTCCCTATCTATGGTCTCCACAATCTCTAAGGTCCTTTCTCTGTCTCAGCTACTACAGTGACTTACCTGGAGTGAGATCTAGGCTCCCGGGAGGCGGGAGAAGTGTTTTCCAAAAGTGCCCTCTACCCCAGCCTATTCCTTCAGCCAGTACCCGGGTCCCCTCGGTCATGGCTCTGCCTCTTCCAACCCAGACTACCTGAAAGAGGGAGACAGAAAGACACAGATTGCAGGAAAAACACAGCCTTTGCCTTGGCATTCGAGGCTTCCCTGTTCTGCCCAGTGTCTGGCTGGCGCTTCTTCCTGCCCCTGCCAGGGCTCACCTCCAACCTGGAGATTCCCTCCCCTGCATCCAGGCACCACTAGAGCTCCAGAAAAATATTCTGAGCAGCCCACTCCTTGCCTCCAGAGACAAATACATCCCACTAATATTTATTGAGCACCTACTATGTGCCAGGCACTGAACTGGGAATCCAGCAGTGAACAAGATGGATGGCAGTGCCTTCATAGAGTTTACAGTCTACTTGTTTTTTTACAGGTGAAAAAAACAAGTAAAAGTGGAGAAGTCGGACGCTGACAAGTGATGGGAAAAGATATGAAGCAGGGACGGAGTGAAATACAATTTTATTATTTATTTACTTATTTCGAGACGGAGTTTCACTCTGTTGCCCAGGCTGGAGTATAATGGCACGATCTCGGCTCACTGCAACCTCTGCCTCCCGGATTCAAACGATTCTCCTGCCTCAGCCTCCCCAGTAGCTGGGATTACAGGCATGTGCCACCATGCCTGGCTAATTTTTGTACTTTTAGTAGAGACGGGGTTTCACCAGGTTGGCCAGGCTGGTCTTGAACTCCTGGACTCAAGTGATCTGCTTGCCTCAGCCTCCCAAAGTGCTGGGATTACGGGTGTGAGCCACTGCGTCTCGCTGGAATGCAATTTTAAACAGGATGGTCAGGCAGGGCTGCAGGGAGAGAGGGAGTTGGGGACCTGAGGGAACAGCATTCCAGGCTGAAGGAACAGCCTGTCCAGAGGCTCTGAGGCAGCGAGGAGGCCCATGTGGCTGGTGCAGAGTGAGCAAGGGGGAGAGAGGGAGGAGGAGAAAGCGGGGAGGGAATACGGCAGGTCATCCAGGGTCTTGCAAGCCTCGGGAAGGACTTAGGCTTTGACCCTGAGGGAGGTGGGAGCCATGGAGGGCTGCCGGCAGAGGAGGGACGGGCCCTGACTCAGGGGCTCACAGGCGCCCTCTAGCACCTGCTACAGGGAGGACAGACTTGTAGGGGACAAGGGCAGGGGCTGTGGACCTGGGTGGGGGTGACTGGGCTGGGCCAGGGGTTGAGAAGTGGGCGGATTCTGGTTAGACTTTGAAGGCGAAGCTGATGGAACCAGCTGAAGGATAGATAGAGGGCCTTGGGAGGAAGAGAGGAACAGCTGATGCCAATGAAATCAGAATAATAACAACTGTTCCCACTAATGGAGCAGGGGGAAGGTTTAGTGATGAAGGCCGTGGCTTTAAAGCTGGGTTTAAACCCTGGCTCTGCCCCTTCCCAGCTTAATCTTGCTCTGCTTCAGTTTCTCCACCTGTAAACCGCCAATGATAACAGCACCCAGCCAGGCACAGTGGCTCACACCTGTAATCCCCGCACTTTCTGAGGTGGGCAGATCACCTGAGGTCAGGAGTTTTAGACCAGCCTGGCCAACATGATGAAACCCAGTCTCTACTAAAAATACAAAAATTAGCCGGGCATGGTGGCAGGTGCCTGTAATCCTAGCTACTCAGGAGGCTGAGGCAGGAGAATCGCTTGAACCAAGGAGGCAGAGGTTGCAGTGAGCCGGGAATTGCACCACTGCACTCCAGCCTGGGTGACAGAGCAAGACTCCATCTCAAAAAAAAAAAAAAAAAAAAAAAAGCCAGCGCAGTGGCTCACACCTGTAATCCCAGCACTTTGGGAGGCTGAGAGGCAGATCAGAAGAAAAAAAAAAAAAAAAAAAAGCCAGGCGCAGTAGCTCACACCTGTAATCCCAGCACTTTGGGAGGCTGAGGAGGGCAGATCACAAGAGATGAGGAGGTCAGGAGATTGAGAGCATCCTGGCTAACACGGTGAAACCCCGGTTCTACTAAAAATACCAAAAAAAAAAAAAAAAAAAAAATTAGCCAGGCATGGTGGCAGGCACCTGTAATCCCAGCTACTAGGGAGGCTGAGGCAGGAGAATCGCTTGAACCTGGGAGGCGGAGGTTGCAGTGAGCTGAGATCGCACCACTGCACTCCGGCCTGGATGAGAGAGCAAGACTCTGTCTCAAAAATAATAATAAGTAAATAAATAAATACTAGCATCCATGCCAGGGGGCAGCCGTAAGGCCACATGAAAAGCCCCTAGCATCTCACAGGCTCTCAAAGCGTGACCATGACTGAGTGCCTGCTGGCTCCCATGACGACCTATCTCCCTGCAACGCTGCTGCCTCGAGGCAAAAAATGTTGTCACTACTGTATTTCACAGAGTGTAGAAACAGGAGGTGGCAAGAGAGGCTGGGGCAGGGAGAAGAGGGGGCCCTATCTACCCGGAAGTGAGAGAGGCCCTGGCAGGTTTGTCCCGAGCAGCCCACACAGCTTCTCTCACCCTAGGGTACTGTCTGGGCTGACAGGTCCAAAGTGTTTTTCTCATTTCTCAGATGGGGAAGCTGAGGCCTCCCCAGTTGGTGCTGCACCACCCACTAGTAGCCCGTGCTCTGCCTCTATAGGTCTGGGAGTGGTCTGGGGATCTGGGGAGCTCAGAACCCATTCAATGCCCAGAGAGGGTGCGTTAGCTGCCTCAGGACACACAGCCAGGGAACAGCAAAGGTAGATAGGGGCCCCCGTCTGTTGGGGAAGACAAAGCTGGACTCCGCCATCAACCCCAGCTGTGTGTGTGGTCAGGGATGGGGCAAAGGGCAGGGCATTAGGGTGGGGTGGGAGCCCAGAGGAGGTTGAAACTGTCTCTTTTTTTTTTTGTTTTGAGACAGGGTCTCACTCTGTTGCCCAGGCTGGAGTGCAGTGGCGCGATCTCAGCTCACTGCAACCTCCGCCTCCGGGTTCAAGCGATTCTCCTGCTTCAGCCTCCCAAGTAGCTGGGATTACAGGTGCGTACCACCACGCCTGGCTAATTTTTGTATTTTTAGTAGAGACAGGGTTTCGCCACGTTGGCCAGGCTGGTCTTGAACTCTTGACCTCAGGTGATCCACCCGCCTCGGCCTCCTAAAGTGCTGGGATTGCAGGTGTGAGCCACTGCACCCGGCCAAAACTGTCTCCTCTGAAGGCTTCCATACTCTGCCTCCAGCATGGTTCACTGGGATCTCCACCCTGGTCTCCTGTCTCCAGCCCTCCCCCCACCACAGTCCGTCCTCCCTGCTGCAGCCAGGGGTTACCTGTGAGCACTGAGTTAGATCCCATGCCTCCTCTGCCCACAGCCCTCTATGGCTCCCACCTCCCTCAGGGTCAAGGCCCAAGTCCTCCCTGCAGTCTGCGAAGCCCTGCATGAACTGCCCCGGCCTCTCCCCGCCCTCCCTTCCTCCCTCTCTCCCCTTTGCTCCAGCCATACGGGCCTCCTCGCTGTTCCTCCAACATGCCAGGTGCGGTCCTGCCTCAGGGCCTTTGCACAGGCTGTTCCCACTGCCTGGAACACCCTTTCCTGACTCTCTGTTTAACCACCTCCTCTGCATCATAGCCTGAAATGTCACCTTTCCAGAGAGGCGTCCCCCCGTCACTGACCCCTCTCCACCTTCCCCGCGTCCCCCACAGTGCCGACTGCGAGCTGACATTCTCCTATGCTATTATTTGGCTCTTGTTCCACGGGACTGCAGGCTCTGTGAAGGCAAGATCTGGTCTCTCTGGGTCACTGCTGAATTTCAGTGCCCAGCATGGAGTCTGGCACACAGTAGGCGCACAATAAATGCTGACTCTGTACTGCATGATTACAGTCTAGACGTCTGAGGGTCGTCCAGTCCCCAGACCTCATAAAAGGTACACTGCCGAGAACACCCTCTCCCAGCCCCAAGCTCTGAACCGCCATCCCTCATCATCCTCTCAGCCTCCCCTTCCCCGCTAAGATCTTCCCTCAAGAGGACCTGGGAAGGGGACCTCTCGCGCCCCCACTGCAGCCCCAGGCTCCCGCAACAGGGTGGCATCTGAGGCTCCTGCCCTCAAAACATCAACACAGGCTTGGTGACTCAAGCCTCTAGAGGGCGGGTGAGTATGACCCCCATAAAATCCAGGGTAATTCATATGGCCCCCGTCCCTCTCCTGTTCAACAGTTCCAAGGTGGTGGTCCCAGGTCACCTTCACCACCTCATGGCCACCCCGACCCGTTTCCCAGAGCTGCCCCAGGCCAGCAGTGAGCTGTTCCTGTGGCCCCAGCGCCCTTCTCTGGAGACCCCTCCTTGGGCCAGAAGACGCCCCGCTTGAGGGCCATCTTGGCCAGGGGACCTCTTTGGGGACCCAGATATCCAAGTGTGAGTGTGGGTAGCGGGCATTAGGGTGGGGCTATGGGAGAGATAAGGGGGTAGGGAGAGACCAGAGAAGGAAGAGAGAGACAGAGCCTCAGGGAGACAGAGAAAAACGGCAGAGACAAATGCACAGAGACACCCAGAAAGACAAAGAGACGGAGATAGACACACATATTGAGACACACAGAGAAAAAAGAGCAGAGACCAAAATGACCGAGACAGAGACACAGAGAGAGACATACACCGTGGGAAGAAAGAGACAGAAATGGACAGAGACGCGCAGAGAAACAGAGACAAAAGAGACACAGAGAGAAAAACAGCAGAGACAGAAATGGAGAGACAGAGAAAGAGAGAAAGGCACGGAGAGGCACACAGAGAGAAGAAAGCAGAGACCAAAATGGGCAGAGACACAGAGAGAGACAGAGACAAAAGAGACAGACTCACAGAGACACAGAGAGACAGAGACAAGAGACAGAGACACAGAGACACAGAGAGAGACAGAGACAAAACAGACAGACTCACAGAGACACAGACAGAGACAAAAGAGACAGACACAGAGAGAGATGTGCGCACACACACACAGAAATGGACAGGGACACAGAAAGAGACACAGAGAGACAGAGAGAGAAAAACAGCAGAGACAGAGACAAATGGACAAAGAGACAGACAGACAGGGAGAGAGAGACACACATACAGACACAGAGAAAGAGAGAGACAAAAATGGACTGAGAGACAAAAGAGAGACACAGAGACATAAGGAGAAAAACAGCAGAGACAGAAACGGGCAGAGACACAAAGAGACAAAGGGGAAGAGAGACAGAGACACGCACAGAGAGGAAAAAAGCAGAGACCAAAATGGGGAGAGACACAGAGACAAGAGAGGGAGACAGAGATGAGAGAGGGAGACAGAGATGAGGGAGAAACAAGGAAGAATACAGCAGAGACAGAAGTGAGCAGAGACACAGAGAGACAGAGAGAAGAGAGACAGAGACAGAGATGATCACAGGCAACCAAATCATCAGGGAAAGAAAGAAACAGAGGCAGAGATGGAGAGAAACACACAGAGAGGAAAAAAACAGAGACCAAAATGAGCAGAGACACAGAGACAGAGACAAAAGAGAAAGAGATGAGGAGACAAAGATGAGAGACACAGATATAAATGAGACAGAGACAAGAGACAGAAACAAAAGAGGGAGATACAGATAAGAGATGGAGATGAGAGGGAGAGCGACAAAAGAGATGAGAGACACAAAGGTGAAAGAGACAGAGATAACAGAGACAGAGACAAAAGAGAGAGATGAAAGAGACAAAGAGGACAGGCACAGAGACACAAGAGAGAGTCAGAGACAAGAGACAGAAGAGGGAGAGAGATGAGAGAGAGAGACAAAAGAGAAACAAGAGAGAGATGAGAGACGAGAGTGACAAAAATGAGAGTGACAGAGACGAGAGAGAGAGGGAGAAAAACAGCAGAGACAGAAACAGGCAGAGAGACAGACACAGACAGAGAGCCGGGAAGCAAAAGACCGACTCCGGCAAGGTCGGGTCAGGAGAGAGGCCGGGCGGGCAGCGCGAGGTGGGAAAGCAGTGCCGGCCCGGGAGGCCGCCCTGGGCGCCTGCCTCCCCCGGCGCTCTCCGGGGGTCCCTGGCCGCCGCCCCCCCCCAACACCCCGAGCCCCGCGGCCACCTGGGGTCGCTGACGAGCAGCAGCACCGAGCCGTCCTGCAAGCGCGCGTCGCGCACCGTCTGGTGGTCGTCCAGCCGCCGCGCGTTGTAGTAGAAGGCGCGCTTCCAGGAGCTCACGCCCTGACCCACCAGCTGGGCGCGCAGGTCGCTCAGTGTGTCCCGCGGCCGCACGGTCAGCGGCAGCAGCAGCGCCTCGTCCGCCAGGTGCACCTTGATGTGGTAGCGCTTCCAGCGCGACAGCCCCCGCCGCAGCCCTTCCATGGCGCCCGTCCGGCTCCGGCTCCAGCTCTGGCCCCGGGCCTCGCGCGCCCCGCGCACCCGCCCGACCGGCCTGGCCGCCCGCCCCCGCCGCGCCCGCGCTCCGCCCGCCCGGACACGCCCGGCACGCAGTGGGCAGGCCCGGCCGGGCGGGGCGGGGCGGGTGCCACGGTCCCCTCAGGCGGGTCCGCTCCCCATTGCTGGCCCCAGAGTGCGCCCGGGGGTCCGAGGTGGCCACGCACGACAGAGCCATCAGCGAGGTCACCCCAGCCAAGGAGACACGTGGACGTCCAGGGGGTTACATGGTGGAGGCGCCAGGGAGGGAGGCTGGGAGGCCACTTTATTTGATCTTTTTAAGGACAGAATCTCACTTGGTCGCCCAGGCTGGAGCATAGTGGCACAATCATGGTTCCTTGCAGCCTCGACCTCCCCGGCTCAAGCGATCCTCCCGCCTCAGCCTCTTGAGTAGCTGGGACTACAGGCCCTGCCACCACGCCCAGCTCATTTTTGTACTTTTTGTGGAGACGGGGCCTGGCGGTGTTGCCCAGGCTGGTTTTGAACTCCTGACGACAAGCGATTCTCCACCTTGGCCTCCCAAAGCGGTGGGATTATAACCCTCGGCCACCACGCTCAGCCTACATTTAAAAAAATAATAAATTTACTTTTAGGCCGGGTGCGGTGGCTCATGCCTGGAATCCCAGCACTTTGGGAGACTGAGGCAGGCAGATCACCTGAGGTCAGGAGTTCGAGACCAACCTGGCCAATAAGGTGAAACTCCGTCTCTACTATAAGTACAAAAATTAGCCAGGCGTGGCAGCACGTGCCTGTAATCTCAGCTACTCAGGAGACTGAGGCAGAAGAATCGCTTGAACCTGACAGGCAAAGATTGCAGTGAGCCGAGATCGCACCACTGCACTCCAGCCTGGGTGACAGAGCAAGACTCCACCTCAAAAAAAAAACAACAAAAAATAAAAAAAAAAGAGGGAGAGAGAGAAAAAAAGAAGAGGAAAGAAAGAATGAAAGAAAGAAGAGAAGAGGCCAGGCGCAGTGGCTGACGCCTGTAATCCCAACACTTTGGGAGGCCAAGGTGGGCAGATCACCTGAGGTTGGGAGTTTGAGATCTGCCTGACTAACACAGAGAAACCCCATCTCTACAAAAAATACAAAAAAATTAGCCAGACATGGTGGTGGGTGCCTGTAATCCCAGCTACTCAGGAGGCCGAGGCAGGAGAATCGCTCGAACCCAGGAGGCGGACATTGTGGTGAGCCGAGATAGGCCACTGCACTCCAGCCTGGGCAACAAGAGGGAAACTCCGTCTCAAAAAAACAAGAAAGAAAGTAAAGAAAAAGGAAAATAAAAGAGCAACTGCTGAGTGATAGTCTTCTAGGTACTTTATTGGGGTGGGGGAAGCATCTCTTATTTTTCCCATGACACTATGACTTCCCATTTTACAAGTCAGAAAACTGAGGCATAGAAAAGAGATTTCCCAGAGGAAACAGAGAGAAAAGTAGCAGAGCTGGGATTCGAACCCAGGCCACCTAGCATGAGCAGTTTTGTTGTAATCCATTCATCACACAAGCATCACTTTTTTCTTTTTTTTTTTTTGAGACGGAGTTTCGCTCTTGTTGCCCAGGGTGGAGTACAATGGCACGATCTTGGCTCACCGCAACCTCCGCCTCCCAGGTTCAAGCGATTCTCCTGCCTCAGCCTTTCTGAGTAGCTGGGATTACAGGTGTGTGCCACCAAGCCTGGCTAATTTTTTCTATTTTTAGTAGAGATGGGGTTTCTCCACGTTGGTCAGGCTGGTCTTGAACTCCCGACCTCAGGTGATCCACCCACCTCGGCCTCCCAAAGTGCTGGGATTACAGGCGTGAGCCACCACGCCTGGCCCACAAACATCACTCTTATACAACCATAAGAGTTCAGATGGAAGTTTCTAATTATTATTATTATTTTATTATTTTTGAGATGGAGTCTCACTCTGTCACTCAGGCTGGAGTGCAGTGGCAATATCTCGGCTCACTGCAGCCTCCGCCTCCCGGGTTCAAGCGATTCTCCTGCCTCAGCCTCCTGAGTAGCTGCAATTACAGGCATGTGCTACCATGCCCAGCTAATTTTTGTATTTTTAGTACAGACAGGGTTTCACCATGTTGGCCAGGCTGGTCTCGAACTCCTGACCTCAAGTGATCTGCCTGCCTCGGCCTCCCAAAGTGCTGGGATTACAGGCGTGAGTCACCACGTCCAGCCTTTTTTTTTTTTTTCCTTCAGATGGAAATTTTAAAGAAAACTCAAACCAAATTAAATTCCAGATGGCCCCTTCAACCCTTGCCCCCAGTGAAAGAAAATATACAACTATTAGGAGAAAACATAGAAGTTAAAAATAAAAATAATCTGGGCTGGGCGTGGTGGCTTACACCTGTAATCCCAGCACTTTGGGAGGCTGAGGTGGGCAGATCACAAGGTCAGGAGTTCGAGACCAGCCTGGCCAATATGGTGAAACCCGGTCTCTACTAAAAATACTAAAATTAGCCAGGTGTGGTGGTGCCTGCCTATAATCCCAGGACTCAGGAGGCTGAGGTGGGAGAATCACTTGAACCCAGGAGGCGAAGGTTGCAGTGAGCTGAGACCACGCCATTGCACTCCAACCTGGGTGACAGAGTGAGACTCCATCTCAAAAAAATATAAAAATAAAAATAATCTTACTGTGTTAAAGCATATTAAACCCAGAAACCTTTAATTAAAAGATTAATAACTGACTACAAATATAAAATTCCTACACACATATGCACATTAAAAATATACTAGAAGATCAACAGGCAACATCAAGGAGGAAAGTTTTCCAAAACATGACAGACCAAAGACTGATTTCCTTAATATGTAAAGAGCATTTGGAAATCAATAAGGATTAACAAGGCAATTGAAAACTGGGCACAGTGGCTCACTCCCGTAATCTCAGCACTTTGGGAGGCCAAGGTGGGTGGATCACCTGAGGTCAGGAGATCAAGGTCAGCCTGGACAACATGGTGAAATCCTGTCTCTACTAAAAATACAAAAGTTAGCCAGGTGTGGTGGTGGGTGCCTGTAATTCCAGCTACTTGAGAGGCTGAGGCAGGAGAATGACTTCAACCCAGGAGGTGGATGTTGCAGTGAGCTAAGATTGTGCCACTGCACTCCAGCCTGGGCGACAGAGTGAGAGCCTGTCTTTAGAAAAACAAAACAGCCGGGCGCGGGGGCTCACGCCTGTAATCCTAGCACTTTGGGAGGCTGAGGCAGGTGGATTACGAGGTCAGGAGATCCAGACCATCCTGGCTAACACGGTGAAACCCCGTCTCTACTAAAAATACAAAAAAGTAGCCAGGCGTGGTGGCAGGCGCCTGTAGTCCCAGCTACTTGGGAGGCTGAGGCAGGAGAATGGCGTGAACCCAGGAGGCGGAGCTTGCAGTGAGCCGAGATTGCACCACTGCACTCCAGCCTGGGCGACAGAGCAAGACTCCATCTCAAAAAAAAAAAAAAAAGAAAGAAAGAAAGAGGGAGAGAGTGAGAAAAAGAAGAGGAAAGAAAGAAAGAGAAAAGAAAAGAAAGAGAAAGGCTGGGCGCAGTGGCTCGAAAAAAAAGAAAAACAAAAACAAACAAATAAATACTAGAAGATCAACAGGCAACATTAAGGGAGAACAGCTTCCAAAACACGATAGACAAGAGCCTGATATCCTTAATATGTAAAAAGCATCTAGAAATCGATACAGATTAACAAGTCAGTCAAAAAAAAGGTGAGACATGAATGGTTTTTTTTGTTGTTTTTGTTTTGTTTTGTTTTTGAGCTAGGGTCTTGCTGTTTCCCACACTGGAATGCAGTGGTGCAATCTTGGCTCACTGCAACTGTGTACCACCCGTCCCGGCTAATGTTTTGTATTTTTAGTAAAGACAGGGTTTCGCCATGTTGCCCAGGCTGGTCTTGAACTCCCGGGATTCAAGCAATCCTCCCGCCTCAGCCTCCCAAAGTGCTGGGATTACATCCTAAGCCACCGCACAAGAACAGTTTTCTGAAAAGGAGGTACAAACGTCTTCTGGGCATAGGCAAGGGAGTTCACTCTCGCTCATGGTAACCTAAATATAAAGTAAAACTACCATGAAATACCTTTTTCTTCTTTTCATCTCTCCGGCTGGTCAAGATGAAAAAGTCTGAGCATTCGCTGTGTTTCCAGGGTTTGGGGAAAAGTGCAGCCTCATGCTGTTGGGGTTCAGAGTGTGAAATGGTGTAAGCTCTCTGAAAATAGCTGTTTGAAAAAGGTATAAGCCAGCAGTGTCCTTTCTGGGAAGGCATCCGTGTGCACAAAGAGAGATGAGAACATAATACATGTGCCAAGAAATTTACATGTAACACAGCAAAGTAGGAGGCTGGCACGATCCCTGACCTCCTTGAACAAAGGAGGGAAACTGAGGCCCGGAGAGGAGTAGTGGCAGAATGAGAACCCAGGCTGGGCTGGTCACTCTCTGGGGAAGGTGGGAGGGCTGGCTCAACCTGAAGAACTAGGTCACCATGGCCCCCGGCCACCTCCCTGTTCAGACTGAATTCCAGGCCTCGCCCATCATAATTGCTGGTGTCCAAGAAGGTCAAAGGGAGGCCCGGGGACACTTGGCTTCAACATGGGGAGGCCACGCTGAGCCCTCGGAGTGCTAGGTGCCACTTCCAGTTAATTCTGACTTTCTCATTAAGCTGTTAGGAAAAGCTTGGTGGCTGCAGGCGACCGGCCCTCTGCCTGGGTCTGTGGATTAGAGGGATCATGCTTTCTGCCTCGAGACACCGTATTATCTGTGGTGGGCAATTATGGAAGACCCAGGCAGACACTGACAAGCTCAGAGAATCCCTGAGCTCTGGAGTCTGGGAGGCTCAGAATTGTGGGATCACTGAACACATAGACTCCTCGGATCTTAGAACAGCTGGTGTTTCGTCCTCCTCAGAACTCTCTAGTGGGTGGGTGGGGCTCTGAGCGGTAATCACCAGACATCCCCTCCGGCTGTCTTAAGGGAGAAAAAGATGCAGTAGTAAGTTTTAAGAAAGTTCCAGCAGGAAGCAAGAGGAATAGGCTTTTAAAAATGGGCCAGAGG